GCACTTTTTCATCTTCAAATCCTTTGGTTGGTTGGTTTGCTTGCTTGTTTATTTATTTATTCAGTAGGCTCCACACTCCACGTGGGGCTTGAACTGACAACCGTGAAATCATGAGTCCCATGTTCTACTGACTGAGCCAGCCAGGTATCCCAAACCCTATGATCTTTAAATGTTCCATTTGACTCCCACTTCCCCTGTGAAAATTTCCCTAATGTTTCTGATGCCTTCCTCTAATCTTATCTTTAACACTCATGTTGGCTTTTAAATAGCCACTCTCATGGACTGTTACTGAACTAGTTCCTGTTTTTAAGACTTGTCTCTTCATCCAAATGGGAAATTCCTTGATTAGTGCCTGTGGTGCCTAGCACAATCCTGAGTATATAATTATAAGTACATGCTAGTATCATCTTAATTACTTCTGACATTTTATTCTTACAATTTTTCTTTCCATCTACAGAAACAGCACAACTAAAGGCCAAGTTTACTGCTGCTATAGTGTGTCATTCTCTTCAGAAGCCAACTGACTTTGCTATTTGCTCCATTTAATGCATGAAATTCACTGTGCAACTAAAATATATGGAATCTGGAATTTTCTTCAAACCAGGGGCTAACACCTTTAATTTCATCAAGTCTTAAGTAAGTTTCTGTCTTTTGTGATAAATATGTATTTACAGATAGATTTTTCCTTTTATTTATTTATTTTTTAAAAAAAATTTTTATTTATTTATTTTTTTTAGATTTTTATTTATTTATTTGACAGAGAGATCAAGTAGGCAGAGAGGCAGGCAAAGAGAGAGAAGGGAAGCAGGCTCCCTGCTGAGCAGAGAGCCTGATGTGGGGCTCAATCTCAGGACCCCGGTATCATGACCTGAGCCGAAGGCAGAGGCTTAACCCACTGAGCCACCCAGGCGCCCCTCCTTTTATTTTTTTAAAGATTAAAAAAAAAAATCATTCGTGAGAGATAGAGACTGACAGCACAAGCAAGGGGAGAGGAAGAGGAAGAGGGAGCAGCAGACTCCCTGCTGAGCTGGGAGCCCTGACATGGAACTAAATACCAGGATCTGGAGATCTTGACCTGAAGTGAACGAAGGCAGATGCTTAACCATCTGAGCCACCCAGGCACCCCAGATTTTTTTTTTTCTTTTAATGGAGTATTTTGGATGTTCAAGCAATTTCTCTGACATGATAGAGTTTTAAAATAGCTGCCAAGTTTTTCCTTCCACTGAGTGTGATTTTTTTCCTTTTTCCTGTCCTTTCTTTAACTGAGCAGAGGGAAGGGGGTATAGAAGTGGTAGGATATATGCTTTTTAAAAGGCCACACTGGGCTGGGTGTAGAAAAGCATAAATTATGGTCCTAGCTTCCTCTACTGCACAGACAGCTTTGCTCTGCTTAAAATCGTTATGCTGGAGCTTCACATCTACAAATCCAAGGCAGCTGTAATCCCAAGCCAGCATGGTTCTCTTCCACCATCTAACTGTAGCGACCATTTATTAATCACCTCCTATATGTCAGATACAATGTTGATTGCTTCATCTATCACATAATTATCATAATTAAGGGAATCATGATTCTCATTTTACAGAAGAGAAAACTGAGGCTTAGAGATGTTAAGTAATTGGAACAACTAGTAAGTGGCACAGCTGAAGTTTGGATGCAGAACGAATTCTAAAGTCTCTGCTGTTTTCACTACCCCTTGCAATGTTGGTACCGTGTATTGCCAGGAATTCTACTTGGGGAATGTTGGGGCTTGTACTGATGACTTTGGTGGCTATTGGGAAGGACAGAATAATAATAAAATGTTTCAACGTGTTTGAGGAGGTTCACCAGCACTCCTCTCCTGCACACATTTGCTCCAGTCTTATTTAGTTGTTCCCCACTCTGACAATTTACATTACAGTTTACACCAAATTTGGCACTGTCCCTATGGAATATCTGATCCCATGTCTTGGTAGGTGGAAGGAGAGCTGGCAGTTTTTACCTTTGTCAAGGCTCAAGACAAAAACAATAGAATGAAATCAACACAGCAATATAAGAATATATATACATGTATTTCTTATGTATTTTAGAAATTCTCCCTGTAATAGACCACAGAAGACAAACTTAAATAAGACTATGTACTCTTCTTGTTCTGACAGATGAATTTTAATCTTCAGCTGTTAGTTTACTTATTTGAAAAAGTCAATAGAAGGAAATTCCAGTGTGACAAGAATTTTGACAGTCCCTCAGTATTATCTCTAACGAAATCTAGTTACATGGTGAACTTTCAGGAAGGATGTAGCTGTGGATGTAGGTTTCAATCGGGCCGTTACTCTTACTTTAGTTATACTGTATGTGGCAATTCCCACTGCTGTTTTATTAGGGCCATGGGAGGAGAGAGGCTATTCTATATTTTTCTACACTCGAGAGTTTACCATATAATGTTCTCTTGGTAACCTAAGAGTCTAAAGATTTCTATGCTGATTTAACCAATGTTTTACATTGAGTTGGGCAGAAGTTTATTAAGAAGTATTTGCCACCCAGGCGCCTGGGTGGCTCAGTGGGTTGAGCCGCTGCCTTCGGCTCGGGTCATGATCTCAGGGTCCTGGGATCGAGTCCCGCATCGGGTTCTCGGCTCCGCGGGGAGCCTGCTTCCCTCTCTCTCTCTCTCTGCCTGCCTCTCCGTCTACTTGTGATCTCTCTCTGTCAAATAAATAAATAAAAATCTTTAATAAAAAAAAAAAGAAGTATTTGCCACCAAACAGATCTAACTATATAAATATGTATTATATAATTACATTAAGGATACTTTGTGTTTATGAGTCAATAACCTTTCACTCTTGCATCATTTTTACTATTAGGTATTTAAAATGCTTTTATAAATCAGATTTTTTTGGTTTAAAAAAATAATACTAATTTAGTAGGAGACTGGGATGCAGTTTTCAATGGCGTCGACAGTTATGGTGCTATAGAAAGAACCTATACCTGGAATCTAACTTTATAGAGTCTAGGCTCTGCCTCTTTTTATCTTGGACAAATCACTTCATTTATTTACTCATCTACAGGAAGGGAATCATAATTCCCATCCCACAGTGTTTTTTATGAAGACTATTTGGCATATAGAAGCTGTTCTACAGAGGCAAAATTGGGTTTAAGGGATAGGAGCATGGCAAGGAACTTTACTCAGGGGGGATTGGGGAGGGGCTTTTTATGGAGTTTGAACTAAGCATTATTAGTCACAGAGCCCAAGTACTATGTATGGTAGGCCTAGAATACCTCTCCCTGAAATTCTACTTCCAAAGACTAGACTTCCCTACTGGGGGTGAACTCAACCCCAGGGGCATGTTTTGTGATTTTTGTCCTTGTTGCCCTTTCCCCAAGACTGGAAATTTTGGAGAAGCCATTCCTTCATCTTTGTATCCTCCTGGGAACCAAACAGATCATTAGTGTAAGTGCTTAATGTGCTCAATATTAGACAAAGTCCCCATACAGAACAGTGAGTCAGATTAGCAACTGAATAACCATTAGCAACATTTAAGTTAAAGCCAATTTTAAGTTCTTCCTGTAAGGACCTATTTAGCCAGAGCGCTTCCAGCCAGTTAAACAATAATTTTGTTGTTTAAAACTTAAACTGTCCCTGCTCCCCCCTTCCCTCAGGCGACTTACTTAAAAACAAGTCCTGGAAACCAGTCCCAGGTAACAAAGCCCAAATACAAGGGTGGATCAGGCCAGGTGGAGACATCCAATCAGTTGGGGGGCGCATACTGTCTCCCTAGTTACCAAGGAGTATGGGCCCCGCCCTTTGGGCACCTTCTGGGCGCCAATTCCGACCAAGGTAGCCTGGTTCAAATATCTACTGGGGTAAATTGTAATTCAGTTGGTCACTTACGTGTGACCTCACATGACCGCAGCTTTCTCTGTGTTACAATTTCATTGGCCACCTGTACGAGGCTAGGCCCAACCACATGGCCTTTACCCTTAGAAGCTAGTCTGTGAAGCCTAGAGAGGTCGCCTTCTCTGTAAGAGGCGTGGCCCCAAACCTTCCGTTTGATTCTTGATGCTTGGCTTGAAATCAAGCTTTGCTTGACCTTCGCTTTGTATCAGTCTCGCTCTTTTAATCACGGACCCATTATTGGGGGACCTAACACTTCCTTCTCTCCAAAGGAAAGAACAGTGGTGTTTTTCCTAAAAGAAAATCTTAAATTGAATTGGGTCGCTAGCGTTCAGCCTAAAGCCTCCAAAGAAATTAGGTGCAAGGTTGGGGAGGAGGATAATTAACCTTACTTTGAATGCGCTCTGGTAGGGCCCATTAACTAGAGCCTGGGCGTTGGTCCCAGGAGGAATGCCCATCCCACCCAGCCCGAGTTGTGAGGTGTCGGGCAGAAAGCTGTCTCCATCCCTCCAAGCCACTGTGGCTGGGTTTCTGGTCTTGAGAGATGCAGATGAAGTGGTGTGAAGGGTTGGGCTTTTTTTTTTGTTCCTAAAAATGCAACGAACAAAAAAAAAAGTACAACAATCCAAACCCAACCATCTTGTTGCGCGCCAGCTTTCTTCCCGGGTGGCGCCGCCTCTGGTCGCCAGCGCTCCGTCAGGCACAGCGCCCGCGTCCTAGCGAACACCATCAGCCGCCCAGCGGCCAGGCTCCGCCGGATCCCGGTACCGCGCTCCGCGCCGCCCCTCTGCAAGGAAGAAAAGCCAGCAGCCCGGGACCCTCCCCTCTTCCAGCCGCACCCCTGGCGGCGCCAGTTATTGGTGACGGTTGTTGACACCGGAAGGACTCCCGCCTCACCTCACCCACTGCCCCTCCCCACCCCCCCCCCGGGGAAAGGCGAAACTCGGGAGACCGAACAAAGGCAAAGCCCGGCCGAGGAGGCGGGCCGAGGTGCCGGGAAAGGAGGGCGCTGGGGCGGGGCACGGCTTGCGCCGCGAGTCCATTTTGCAGCCGTGCCCAGCCGGTAACGCGTGCTCCCCGCGGGTGGAGGACAGACGACCGCAGTGCTCCAGGCTGGGCCCCTCCCGCGGCCCCCGAGGTCCGAGATAAGTACCCGCCGGGTCCCTCTCAGGGAAGGGGGGTGATTCTCGGGGCTGCTGCGAGGATGGGGACTTGCCCTGGCAGGACAGCGACCTGCGTGGGTGGGGGGCTGGCGGAGAGCTCAGTTTGAGCTGCACTCCCAGATGCACAGCGGAAGCCAGCTGGGCACTGGAACAAGGCGTGAATTGGAGCGGCGTGCAGGGGGCGTCCGCTGGGCCGGTGCAGCGTGTCTGTGCTCCAGAAAACCTGCTCCGCTACCGATTATGCCCGGCTTCACGGCCAGAGCCTCGGAATCGCCTACGAAAGAAAAGGCGACCATGAATCCTAAATCGGAGCGCTCAGCCACTTTCTGGCACCGAATCTGGGGAGGTGCCTGGCGTCGGGGGAGGGCGCCCTAACCGGGAAGCTCCTTAGTATTGCACAAAGATCTCCAGCCATGCTCCTGGCTTTTTCACCAGGTCCTACCTATTACGCTGGCTTTATTTGTGGGGGACGACTGAAAAAATTGAGGATCAAGACTAAGGGTCCTGTGTAAATAAATGCATATTACTGTCTTCTTTGTTCTTTCTTTGCAGTAGTCTCGTTTGATTGTCGATCAAAACGTGAGAAAAAAACCCAAACCTGATTGCTTTGTCCTGGGAAATAGTAACGCTGACGAATACACCTGCTCGCAGGGGACAGAGGTAAACTACAATACTTCTCCCTACATTAAGAAACCAAAAAAGCACCCAGGTTTTTTTTTTTTTTTTTTTTTTTTTTTTTAAGGCCGGGAACCATGCAAAATTCAATTAAGTGTATAATATACGTGTTCTGTCCTCATGGGTGGTCTCTGTCCTTTTCATATTTTTTCAAAACTCAGAAGAATAGATTCAGTATTTGGAAAATTTTTATGTAGCAGTTATTCTACAAATATTACAGTAAACAGATTTATAATGAAAAGGAAAAGAGATGCCTCGGTAGCATTTTTTTTTTTTTTTAAGATTTTTTTTTCCTTCTTCCATACCATGCTGCTAGGGCTTGTACAAATACTGAGTTTTCTAACTCTAGAGACTTTTATACAATAGGTATTTTAAAAGCAGAATTTTATTTACATAGCCACTCCTCCTGGTAGAACTTGATGGAGCTGTTGATTAACTGGTTATATTTCTGTCTTACGCAATGAGAAGAGACATTTCTTAAGGCTCTCTTTTTCTTAAAAACACCATCTTTTTTGTACTAGGTGAGATACTAAGCCTCCCTGGTAAGTCCTTACATAACACCAGGTTATTCTTTCCGTTCTGTACATTTATGTACCTGGTCTTAACTTGTAATTATGGTTACCTGGTCTTAACTTGTACCACAGCTATGTTCAGATATGCCCATTTCTGTGACAGTGCTTTGTATGTGGTATCCTATATAATGGCTTTACCTTTTCATGAAATTGTAGTTCAGGAGTCCAGTTCTCTTTCAGGACCTTTCTTGGTTAATATACTCATGCTCTAAAATAACACTTTAAATGTGAATTTACATTTTGTGTATTTGTTCACCTGTAATCCATCCATCTTATATTTATATAGTTTAGCAGTTTACAAAACTGGCACTCATTACTTAATCTATGATGAGGATGAGGTCGATAATGTAAAAATCCTCATTCTATGGAGGCTAAAACTTTTGCTTGAAGTTAGATATTCAGAGACAGGTTCAGTGCTCTATTTCCTCTACTAGAGAGCCTGTTACAGCCTAATTTGTAAAAATCATAAAATTTTAGAAGGGAATTTAGAGAGCCATGATTAAACTTCTCCATTTTATGAATGAGAACACTGAATTTTTTTTTTTTTTAAGATTTTATTTATTTGACAGAGAGAGAGATCACAAGCAGGCAGAGAGGCAGGCAGAGAGAGGGGGAAGCAGGCTCCCTGCTGAACAGAGAGCCCGATTCGGGACTCGATCTCAGGACCCTGAGATCATGACCTGAGCCGAAGGCAGAGGCTTAACCCTCTGAGCCACCCAGGCGCCCGAGAACACTGAATTTTTGATCCACTTTCTGGATCGTGCTAAAAGCCTAAGAATTGGGAAACTCAGGTCCTATGCCTAGCTTGCTGTGTATAATTGGGAAAGCTCCATTTTTGGAGGGGGGGGCGGTTCAGTTTTTTCAGTTATAAAGTTAGGTCTTTTCTAGGTAGTCTCTAAGATACTTTTAGACCCAGTACTTTTTTTTTTTTTTTTTTTTTTTTTAGGTTTTTTTTTATTTGACAGAGATCACAAGTAGGCAGAGAGGCAGGCAGAGAGAGAGGAAGGGAAGCAGGCTCCCTGCTGAGCAGAGAGCCCAATGTGGGGCTCCATCCCAGGACCCTGGGACCATGACCTGAGCCGATGGCAAAACTTTAACCCACTGGGCCACCCAGGCGCCCCTAGACCCAGTACTTCTATTTTATTCCTACTCCATAACTTTTATTATCATATATTCCCTATACATATTGGTAATCCTAAATACATATTAACTGCCTTAAACTTTTATATTTTAAATTTGGGTAGGTATGGTAAAAACGTATGCCTTATTCTTGTTTTTTTGTTGTTTTTTTGTTTGTTTTGTTTTTTGTTTTTTGTTTTTAACTAAACTATAAAAGTAGGTTCTGTTGTAAGATCAGGAACTGCATGGAGAAGTGGGGCACTCATACATCATTGGTTAGAGTTCATAAATTGGTATACCCGTTCTTGAGAGAAACCTGGTAATCTTTTCAAGGTCCTTAAAATTCTTCTCATTGACACACCTAACAGTACACTTATAGGAACCGTCTAAGGAAATAATCAGAGCTGTAGACCTTTTCTGCAAGATGTTCATTTAAATGTTATAACCCAAAAAGACATATAAGCCAGTAAGAGCATATCCATAAGATGGACTATCACATTTTAGAAGAAGATGTAACAATAGGGGAAATATATGTAATAAAGTGAAAAATGGTGGATACAAAATGGTGTGAAGCTACCAGTTTTGTTAAAATAGGTATGTACACAAACACAACACACACAAGATTGGAAAAAATAAAAAAATAATAATGGTTATTCCTTGCTGATGTGATTATAGGTGATTTCTCCCCTGTATTTTCTGAATTTTCTATACTCACAAATTACTTTTATAGTTTAAGAAAAAAATAAAAGTTGGTTGCTTGGATAACCTCTCTAACTTGAGTATGTTGTCAACTTTCTGTGTCCTTTTTACAAGGCATTTATCATACCTTTTACAGGAATAATATCTTTGTAAATGTACTGTTACTTCTGAATTTAGGGCAGGAATTGAGTTTTGGCTTATATTTCATCTTTTTAAATATCATTAGGTCATTGGATTATTCATTCTTTTTACTCCACAAAGACACTGCCATCTTCATTACCTTGGCCTTGAACTCTGGATACTAGAATGGTACTGAAGAATAGAGTGCTATCCCCACTTCTCATAATAGTTAACTAAATATAGGCATCCTTTGACATACAGAATCCATTAAGCCTTCTATAAAGCAATTTCCTATAAATTTTTAAAAATAAATTCATTTCCATTATAGATGAAGACATACTACTAAGGAAGAGTTGAACTGCAAATTTTTTGTTGACAGTTTAAATTATTGTCTTTCCTGTGTTATTAGTGCCGCAAGTATATTCTGCTGCAATAGCCAGGTTCCCCATTGTAACTCCATTAGGAGCTTTTTTATTCACCCTGCATATTTGTGGTATTGAATATGAGCGAGGAGTGCCAACATAGTATATATAATATAGCCAACCTAAAAATTGCTCAAGTTTAGCATAATTGGCTTTCTCCTTGATATATTCTGTAGCCCACATTTACTTTAGAATGAGATGTATACATAATTCTACACTGAGCAAAAGGACCTTTGTTTAAACTAATTGCATTTCCAACAGGCATCTCAGAAGTAAGTTCTTATTAGATGATAAGTAGTGCTTATCAGTTATCTACAAAATGCCTCTTTTCCCGTCTACGGTATTACATATAACGTAAGTAACCTCAGTTATCTAGATAAATCCAGCTAGCTACCTACCAAATGATAGACTTTGATAGTACTTCTGAAAGCTGGCATTAACCTAAAATACAATTTTAGATGATGGAGACTTTTTATTAGATACCAACCAATAGTGATTGCCAAATTTATAGTCGTAAAATAAGAAGGTGTTTTAGGGGTAAAAATTTTCCATCTTAATTAAACTCACTTGTATTTATTTAGGGGAAAAGAGACCAGACATTTCTGGTTTGACCTTTCCAGAAGTCATTAGTTCCAATTTAACTGGAACTCTTTAACAGGTAAATATAAAGATCTGAATCTGTTTGGTACCAGAGTAGGAAAATAACTTAGTCTATATATATGTTTTTCTCAAATTCAGACGTATTCAAATGGATTTCACCTGGTGATTGAATCAAATGGATTTCCAGTGCCCTAAAATGGGTGGGAGAGAATAGCCTTCAACACCGTGTGGAAAGCACAGACTTCTGTGGGGATTTTTTGTTGCTAAATTAAAAAAAATTTTAAATAATTATAACATCCAACATGGGGCTTAAATTTATGATCCTGAGATCAAGGATGCATGCTCTACTGACCAAACCAGCCAGGCATCCTCCTCCAGATTTCTTGACAGTTGTACAGAGGTGGGATAGGGATATCTGATGGAGCTATTGTCCTAAAATCCTATTGATATAATGCTGTGGATTACGGAATAATAGCTGGGATAATTATCAAGAGACACAAGGCAAAGATAAAAGGGAAAGAAAGGTAAGTAAGGTGAAGAGGCAGGTAGGAGATAAGGAAAGAGTAGGAGGAAATCAAAAGACTATACACCTTGACATGGGCAGTATGATGAGTTAAGAGAATAAACAGAGGAAAGAGTTAAGGCAAAATAGTGGTTCAGAAAAGAGAATGAAGGAAAGGAAAAAAAAAAAACAAACATTTTTTTGAGTGGTCTGGATTAAGTAGTAAGGATAATGACCTGGTTTTTATATTTCCGAGAATGTTATCATAGTCTAAAACGTTTTACTACTAGAAATACCCTAGGAACTACTAATTCTAGGATAATGCCAAAAAACAGAAGTTTCTTACTGTCTTACATTGACACGTAAGTAACTTTTATGTTGTGTTTGCAGGAGCTGCATAAGAATTAGGCTATTTTAGACACTATATCTTCCATAATCCTTTTTTGAGATTCTTAAACTCTATCCTGTTTTGATCATGTAAATTATGGAACAGTCTCTAAAAGCCAAAATAAAGTATAATAACACATCGATACAGAACACTTAAATATTTTGTAAGTAATTTTCA